GCTAAGCCATTTGAATGAGTGGCCCTTGACAAGCTCAGCATCAACGAACAGCTGACGATCAGAGTGCTATGTTGAACGCCATATCAGTCCAGGGTTCCAAATAACCCCTATGTGCAAGTTTGTACCGCCATTCGCCAAAACGGTTGCCATTTGGAAGGATCAGCACCGAGGGACGTTTATAGGAAATTTTGAAAATTTTGAGCAAAAAAAGGTTCTGGGTTTCTGGGATTGTATAGTTGAATGGTGCCGGTTTATGCCTGCAGTAATTCAACATTTGTTTACTACCATTCACCGACTATGTATTATTTCAGCTCCAACTACTGCACCGTCACGTGAGTCAAATTTTATCACTTGTTTTACACTTAACCTCACCAATTGCAAAACTGTCTGCGCACTATTCACCACTAGGTTGGCAAAAAAGTATTTCCCAGTTTGGAAGTTTGCTTTATTTTACTCTTATATAACATAACAATTAATCAACAATATAATCACCGTCATTAGCAATAACACTGCTCCACTTAGTAGGCAAATCACCGATCCCGTTCTCCCACAATGCTGGAGTCTGGGAGTCAAGAAAGCTTGAGCGGTCTGAACAAATGGTAGTCTGGCGGCGCAAGGTCTGTAGAGTAGGGTGGACAACGGGATGCCATCCGAGCTCCATCAGTTCTACACGAGCCATCAAAGCGACGTGAGGTCGAGCGTTGTCATGGAAAAAATGGGCGGTAGCTCCGCGATTTTCTTTCACAGCAATTTCTAGGAGCTATCAGAACACACGGTAGCGGTGATAGTCCTGCCCTACGGCAGTAACTCGTAGTTAAGTATTCCTTTGGAATCCTAGAAACACGAGAGCAAACCTTTTTTGGATGGTGATCGGAGTTCGACTACGTTGGCGGTTCATAACCGTGCAGAAGCCAAACAGCAGCAAGGATGTTCGCATCGTAGAGGATCCAACTCTCATCTCCAGTAATCAGCTCCTCGAGAAACTCCTTGCGATGCGGCCGGTGGAGAAGAGATTGAACGATAGTCAGGCGAGCCATCCTCATGCTGTCGGTCAACTGATGAGGTATCTATTTCGTCAAAACTTTTTGACATCCAAGAGCATGAAGGCGGTTTTCCGTGCGTGCACCCGAACCTGCTTGCTGAATTTCGTACGGTGGTGTATGGCTCCTCCTTAATGGCGACATGCAATGTTGAATCTTCGAGCACTGAAGGACTTCCACTACGAGGTCGAACTTCCATGTCCGTCTCTCCATCCTCGAAGCGTTTATACCAATTGCGTACGGTACGATCGGTAGTCGTTCCTTCATCGAATGCGTCGTTGACTTTCGGGCCACAACGGCTGCACTAGAGTCAGTAAATTCAGCCATGGTTGATGCCTAATGAAAGGGAACTTTTTTCATATACTCCCATAAAGGCAAAGCTCCGTGAGTGTTCCAGAATATTCTCAGTATACCCAAATGTCCGTCCTCCCATATTAAATAGCAACTTTTAGAGAAAATCGGAAAGTACTCTTTTGCCAAACTAATGCTATCTATTGGACCAGTAATTTGCAGCTTGCGTCAATGGCACTTAGTTTTGTGAAATGCCTTGGTGAATCTGGGGAGGGAAAGACGCTATAATTTCCAAAAGCAGTGACTCATGACAGGCAAAGGGGCTGAAAAGAGGAAAGGAGCATGATAAAATGAGACGCTTCAGGGACCGAAGGGTTACCGAACTTCTACAAGCGCACCTGTTCTGTCTACAGGATATTAATGGAATCGGCGGTAATGTGGTTCTTAGAGGAGGGAAATATCGCCGAATATGCTAATTGTTATCGTCTTCCCCTTCTGCCGGATACTTCACGCTTTTCACTATCATTCGGAATATGGCTTTGGAAGCCGACCCGTGTAATGTTGCGGAGGCTGACCGATGGACATTTTAATACATCACAGCCTCAAAGCCATAAGGCACGATAAATTGGTATTTGCTCCGATTAAACAGTATCTAGTGAAGAAAAATGACAAAAAAGCGCTAGTTGATTGGCCAAAAACCAGCAAAAAATCTTTGTTCTGCACGATTTTGGACGAGTACACAGAGAGCATTTTTGGACGAATTTTCCGTTGACATCCTGCCAACAGCCGCTTTGGTAGATAGAGCTGCACCTATGCAAGGCGACCTGGTGTAGTGTACAAAAGCTGAAAGGCATGTTGAGACGCCTGCTTGGCACGAAACTTCGATCCCAGATTTGACCCTTTTCGGTGAGTGTACTTAGCGCCACTAGCCACTATACCATACACCCTACCCAACTTCTATTAGGTTGTCCGGAAAGTTCTCAGCGTTTTGGGTGTTTCACTTTAAACGATCGTAACTTTTTAATACTCATCGGATTTAATCGAAATAGGCACCATTCGAATCAGCACACTTTTGCCAATGTGACAGCAGTCGAGAAATCCCATCAAAAAAACTGGGTGGTCGAAAATTCACGAAATCCACTAAGGCTTTTTTGCCTGGTCCTGATTGATGAAGTATTTTCCAGCAAGGGAGTTCTGAAAATTTGAAAAGGTGATAGTCGGTTGGTGAAAGGTCTGGAGAATATGGTGGGTGTGGTAGAACTTCAACCCCCAATTCGTTCAATTTATGGATAGTGATTTGTGAAACGTGTGGGCGGGCGTTGTCATGCAAAGGAATCGGACCCTTTCTTTTGATGTGTTGGCTGCATCTGACAAAATTTTCGGTACAATTCGTCGATTTCTTCACAGTAGGGTTCTGCTGTGATGGTTTGGCCTGGTGATAAAAAGTTATAGTGGATCACACCAGCCGATGACCACCAAGCCGTGACCAGAATCTTTTTTCGTGAGGGTTCGGCTTTGAAAATTACCTCGGTGGTTCGTCGAAATCCAACCACTGTCCGGAACGTCTCCTGTTATCATACATGACCCATTTTTCATCACAGGTGACAATTCGGTCCAAAAACAGGTCGTTCTGCTGCGCAAAATCTCCAGAACGAAATTTGTTGAGCCATTGCCGCACAGTGCTTTCTCTAGCACTATTGGGCCCCCACACCTGGTTAATTTGTTGAGCTGTTTCGATTGCGGATTGCCCCAATTTATAGTCGAAGAAAAAAATCGTCCGAAGTGCTCTTTTCACATGCTTGAAAAAATCTTGAAAAAAGGGGGGTTTATCAAGCAATGGTGAAACGGCAATTATACCATCAGATAGCGCAAGAAATTCTCTACAGGATATGCTACTGAGAAGCAAGGCAGAATGAGTTTTTAATCAGCAGTGAATGTACAAAAAATAGGTGCACAAAACGCTGAGAACTTTCCGGACAACCTAATATTTCGACTTTTCTGAATAACAAGTTGAGATTCGAACAATGTTATGCAAACGAGTTTATCTGTTGAATCGAATTTCACTGGAGCTTAAAACTTTTAACTACAACTCATAGGACTTCTCCTCTGAGTGGAAGCACCCATCATACAGAGGGAATATCAAAATGATGTAGTAACGGAAGATTCTTTGGTAGTACAGAATTACACAAATAAGTCAAAACTCTGTCAATCAGCATCAGATCTGCGAAAAACAGCAGACCTAGAATGAGACTCTATGTAGGTCCAACATTATCACTGACTCAACCTCCAAAAAGCGGTCATAGAAATTTTCTTGTGAAGTGAGGCTGGACGCCATTATGAGCGAACTTTTATGACATGCCATGCCTCAACCTCCACATTTGTGAGGAATAGGTTGAGAAACCGAAAGAAAGAAAAAAAGAAGAAAGACGCGCAATAGTAAGAGCCGAAGAGACAGTGAGCGTTTCAATAGGAGTACCAGTACCACAATTAGTGCAACTCATGTTTCTGCCCACTTGTGCTTCTCACCTGAAGAAAGAATTACTCCTCTCAGGTGTATACCGAATGCGTCCCGTACCCAAGCAAATGCCGAAATCCCACCAAGGAATTTCTTTCTAGTGGAACCTAATACTGTCCCATGTGCTGTCACGCGTAAATTGGTCGTTAACAAAAACGGTGAGAAATCCTATGTAAGGTTCAGACTAATATCATGTCGGTTCTTAGAGCCCCATGAGATCGTCTTCCCAAATCATGCTACCGCTAGGTATGTTCCATCAATCAATGAGTTATTATTCAGTTAGCAATAGAGAAATCTATAATCTTTCAGCGACAACCCCCACTTCTGGTCCGACGACGACGCCGAACCCATGCTCTAACTATACATGTAACAATGACGGAGATAACTGCGAGACAGACCCAGATAACACCCCTCACTGTCAGTGCCCAGGAAATCTGGACGGATACCAGCACTGCGATACTGGTATGTTCACCACTCAGTCGATTATTTTTCGTGCTACTGAAATTCTATCTTTTTCCCTTGGCTACCCTTTCACTACCGAACCGAAGTGCCATGGCGAATTAGGTTAACACATTTGACATAATTCTCCATAGCTCACCGGTTTAGAGGCGGAAAGGCGGCCACGAAGCCCTGACACTATGAGCCATTCACTAATCCACTCTTCGAAATTAGAGCGTAATTTCGAGGCTCGCGGAAAAACGCACCTGCGAGCGCACGCGTCGCGTGCTTACTGCAGTGATAATGCAGCTAAAAAGATACAAGAACCAGCGCTGTGCCATTGCAGTTTGGAGGCAATGGGGTTTCACAGATGAATGGTACAGTAAAAGAGGGAATGAAAGAAGTAACGAATGATGACTGTTCCACAGCACCCGGACATGGAAGACAGTTGAAAGGTATTTTCCAGAGAAGGCGGAAACTTTTTAAGGAGATATGATGATTTCACTGTGATTATCCATTGCCTCTACCACTGCACGCTCCGGCGCAACTGGCT